TAGAGGTGTTGATTCAGGAAATTGCATTGGATAGAGTACACCAGCTCTTGTTTCTTAGATACAGTTATCATTATTATCTAGGCGAGCAGATGGCAATTAGTAGATACAATTTGTTCTGTATCTCAGAAACTAGAGTCGATGGGGGAAAACTAGTGCCGCTTTTTGGAATATAACCCAAAACAGGGCTATCATTTGAGGCACCAAAATGTGTATGAACCACTGTTGTTGTTGTTATTTATTTATTTATTGTGTCAGAAGCAAATTGAGAATGCAGTTATAATGTATAGAAAAACCACAAACAAAGTTAAAAGCTTGGCATGATACTAAATGTCCTTTGACCAGAAGCTGGCCACTTGGAGTGCCTTGGTGTGGTTGTGAGAAGTTTCTCCATTGTGCATGTGGCAGGGCTCAGATTACATTGTAGTCAGTGGTCTGTGGTTTGCTCTTCTTCTCACTCATGTGTCGTGAGCCCCATTTCTGAAGATTGGCTCTGCATCTCCTGGTGACAGAGCACAGTCTGTTCAGTGCCTTCCAAGCTGCCTGGTCTTCTGTGTGCCCATTATGGAGTTTCTCATCCAGTCTCAGTCACAGGCACAGATTGGGGACAAATGCAAGATACTCCACTTAGTATGTTAGAAGCAAAGAGTGTTTGAGGACCGGGACATCCATAGGGATACCAAGCTGCTTCTTTATAAAACTATTGTCCTCCCAACCCTGCTATATGCCTGCGGAGCGTGGACTGTCTACAGATGTCACATACAATTCCTGGAACGATTCCATCAGCTCTGCCTCTGGAAAATCCTACAAATCTCTTTGGAAGACAAGTGGACAAACATCAGTGTGTTGGAAGAAGCAAAGACCACCAAGTGTGATTGTTGGATCTATAGCAGGCATCCTCAGAGCTTGTGAGGTCCAGCATACAATTTAAAAACATACAAATATGCAAAAACTAAAACAGGATTAAATATAAATAGCATTTTAAACTGTGGCGGCGCAGTGGGTTAAACCCGTGTGTCGGCAGGACTGAAGACTGACAGGTCGCAGGTTCAAATCCGGGGAGAGCGTGGATGAGCTCCCTCTATCAGCTCCAGCTCCCCAAGCAGGGACATGAGAGAAGCCTCCCACAAGGATGATAAAACATCAAAACATCCAGGCGTCCCCTGGGCAACGTCCTTGCAGACGGCCAATTCTCTCACACCGGAAGTGACTTGTGGTTTCTCAAGTCACTCCTGACATGACAAAAAAGCACAAAAACCCCCACATCTATGGCAGTTATCCTCAGAGGTTGTGAAGTCTGTTTGAAACTAAGCAAGTGGACTTTCCAGGGTGGGAGAAAGAACACTCTGCTTGAGGCAAGTGTGAATGTTGGATCTATGGCAGGCATCCTCAGAGGTTGTGAAGTCCAGCATACAATGCGCCTTTCCAGAATAGGAAAACTCCAATAACAAGTCCCAGAAGCACTTTATTAGAATTAAGATTGCCACACACTGCACTTACCCTATAATCCTTATATATCACCTGTCACATCAGCACTTTTAATTCTGTACCCATTACTCTGTCCCGGCCCAGTTTTACTGTGTCTTGGTGTATTGTTTATTGTTTAATATTGCTTTAATTGTTTTTAATTTGCTTTAGGTTTTGTATTGTTATGTTGTGTTTTGAAGCCTTGGCCATTGTAAGCCACATCGAGTCCTTCGGGAGATTATAGAATCATAGAATCAAAGAGTTGGAAGAGACCTCATGGGCCATCCAGTCCAACCCCCTGCCAAGAAGCAGGAATATTGCATTCAAATCACCCCTGACAGATGGCCATCCAGCATCTGTTTAAAAGTTTCCAAAGAAGGAGCCTCCACCACACTCCGGGCAGAGAGTTCCACTGCTGAACGGCTCTCACAGTCAGGAAGTTCTTCCTCATGTTCAGATGGAATCTCCTCTTGTAGTTTGAAGCCATTGTTCCGCGTCCTAGTCTCCAAGGAAGCAGAAAACAAGCTTGCTCCCTCCTCCCTGTGGCTTCCTCTCACATATTTATACATGGCTATCATATCTCCTCTTAGCCTTCTCTTCTTCAGGCTAAACATACCCAGCTCCTTAAGCCGCTCCTCATAGGGCTTGTTCTCCAGACTCTTGATCATTTTAGTTGCCTTCCTCTGGACACATTCCAGCTTGTCAATCTCTCTGGAGTTGGATGCCATCTCTATGCAGATGACGCACAACTCTACTACTCCTTTCCATCTAATTCCAAGGAGGCCTCTCAGGTGCTGGACGAGTGCCTGGCCGCTGTGTCTATCTGGATGAGGAGGAACAAGCTGAAGATCAATCCTGACAAGACAGAGGTCCTCCTGGTCGATCGCAAACCGGATCGGGGTATAGGGTGGCTACCTGTGTTGGACGGGGTTACACTCCCACTGAAGCCACAGGTCCGCAGTTTGGGTGTCCTCTTGGATTCATCGCTCACGCTTGAGGCTCAGGTGTCGGCGGTATCCGGGAGGGCCTTTGCACAATTGAGACTTGTGCGCCAGCTGCGACCGTACCTCGCGAAGGCTGATCTGGCCGGGGTGGTCCATGCCTTGGTCACCTCTAGAATGGATTACTGCAATGTGCTCTACGTAGGGCTGCCCTTGAAAACGGCTCGGAAACTCCAATTGGTCCAGCGGGCAGCAGCCAGGATGCTAACCGGGGCTCATTATAGAGAGAGGTCTACCCCTCTGTTTAAGGAGCTCCACTGGCTGCCATTTATTTTCCGAGCCCAATTTAAGGTGCAGGTGCTCACCTACAAAGCCCTGAACGGTTTGGGACCACCCTACCTGCGTGACCGCATCTCCATCTATGAACCCACACGCTCACTTCGGTCATCTGGAGAGGCCCTGCTCGTGATCCCACCCGCGTCGCAAGCGCGCTTTGTGGGGACACGAGACAGGGCCTTTTCTGTGGCGGCCCCCCGACTTTGGAACGCCCTCCCAAAAGATCTTAGACAGGCCCCTACTTTGGCAGTTTTCAGAAAGAATTTAAAAACTTGGCTGTTCCGATGTGCCTTCTCAGATTAGGAATCCCCATCACCAAGTCCTAGAAGCACTTTAGTAGAATTAAGATCGCTGCACACCGCACTTATTTAATCCTACGTCCCTCCTGCCACTTCAGCACTTTTAATCCTGTACCCACTGCTCTGGCCGGCCCAGTTTTTAAAGTGTCCTGATGTATTGTTACTGTTGTTGTTGATTTGCTTAACTGTTTGATATCCTGTTTCTCTTTCCACTGCACAAATTTCTTCTCTGGTGTTCCTCGTCCTCTCGGTCGCCCCAGTCCGGTTCCGCTCAGCTCTCCCCCAGCTCCTCCAACTGCAACTCTCCGCCGCCTCGCCTCGCCGCTCCTCGCCACTCCGCCGTTCCGCCGCTCAGCCGTTCACCCGCACGGTTCGCGCTCAGCAACTCGCCGTTTCCTCCGTCCCTCCTCCGCCTTTCCAGCCAGCGTCCCTTACTCAGCTCTTGCCCTCTCCCTCACCGCCTTTCTTATGGTTTCTTATGGTTTCTTGAAGATTATGGGTCTTCTCCTGGTGAGTTGGGGAGTCGATGGGCTGAGTCTGCGTTTGGTTTAGGCTCCTCAGTCTCTCGGTTCCTCCATTTACTATGCCTTGTGTTTTGTTATATAGGTCTTCTCTTAGTATTCTCTTATTCTCCTTCTGTTTTCTTCTCATTTGCTATGTCCTTACTTTTTTATATATATATTTCTTTCTTCTTTTCTCTCCGCTTCCTTTATCTTTTTCAAGTCTTTATATTTTAAATACTGAAGTTCTTAGAATGTAATGGAGACGGTAGGCTTGCTTGCCGCGCCTTCGGCCGGCGTCCTTCTCTCGGGCTCGATCTCTGTTGGGGTTTCTTGGGTTAGCTGGAGGGGCTCCCAGGGGACCCCCACCACCCCACCCTGAATACCCTTGATGAGATTCTATCCAACCCGACCCTTTCCGTCGGTGTTGGGGAGAAATTGGCGGTCTCCAAACCCTTGGAGAGTGGATTACTCCCTGAAGTTCACGGAGCTTCAGAGGACCATTGCAGCCTCCATCTTGTCTCCACTGGAAGTCCCTTTTCATTTTAGAGTAGGAGTTTAGGATTCCCCTAGAGGCCGAGCTCAGTTGGTTCAGCCCATTCTGGCTCAGAGCTTGGCAGAAATTTATTTATTTATTTACTTACTTACTTCGCTTATATACCGCAATTCTCAGCCTAATGGCGACTCATTGCAGTGTAAGAAAGACTTTTTATTCCATTCCTTTTGGTCATAGTTTATAGATAGTTGCCAGAAAGTGTCTGGCCTGGCCTAGCAATTTGAACAGGCCATCCTTATCACATATTTGCCTTAAAGTTTATAATACATGTAATAAAGAATAGATATTTGTAATAAAGAATAGATAATATTTGTCAAAGTTTATAGATTTTAGAGTAGTTATATTTGCCATAGAATAGATAATATTTGCCTTATAGATAGATAGTTCAGATATACATGCCCCATAGATTATAGATTATAGTAAATGTTATATAGAATAGATAGTACATGCCATAGAGTACTTACCTCATAGAAATTATAGTTTGTTACCTCAGAGTTTATATTTCACTGTTCTAACACCATCATAATCAAACTGTACTTTTATACCTTGATTATTCAGTAAATAATTGTTGAATTTAATCTTGTTTTTAGAGTATTATTTTGGGGAGCATTAAAGTAATTTAGGGCATACCGATGGTCACCGGGAAAATAGCCAGACACATTTAGTTTCTCATTAGATCTTCCTGGTGTGCCATCATAGGTAGTGAGGTCTGTTTGGAGTAAGTGCAACACTCTGGCTATTAGATTGGACCATGAATCTCTGCAAATGTAATTTATGTGCAAAGAGTGCTGCCTTTTAGGTTGGTGCAAGGGATGCCACCCACACCTTGTCCCTCAGTCGTGACGCAGGGCAGTTTATGCAAATAAGGACACCGCATGGCTCCCTGGGAAAACCTAAGTGGCGTCTTTCTGATCTGCTTAGCTGGGATAATATTTGACACGGTGGGCTATGGAGGGCAGGGAAAGGAGCCTTAAAGGGCTTTTGTTGAAGAGAGGGGGAGAAAGGGTTCCTCTTTAGCCACCGTGACCTGCATGGCAGGGGTGAAAAAGGCAGCACAGGCGCCTGCTATGCCTGGGTATCGTCAGTGAGGTATATCCTGACCTGTTCCTCCTCCGGGAGAAACAGTGACATGATGAATGGAGACGGCATGAGACATGATTAGGGTCTCCCGCTGGCCGGGGAGCGCAACGCCCCGGCCTGCTCCTTTCTGATTCCACTGGCGATCACTTTAAATCAAAAGGGTGAAAAATAGAACCAAGTTTGCTCATTGAGTTCAATTACATAGATATCACGTGATTGTGAGTTACAAACGCAAGTATTTTGTCCTCTTCCTCGCTCCGTAGAAGTATGGCTCAGTCCCCATTTATCTTATGTGCGTCACGGCTCCTTCTCTTTGTTTACTCTGTTATGATTGGTTGCTCAAAGCCTGGCAAGCTTACGTCATTTCGATCCGATTGGACGCCTTTTCTACTCTCTGATTGGTCAGGTAAATTCAGGCCACGCCCATTCTTGTTTCTAGGTCACATGCTCCCGCCCCTTTTCCCCTCCCATTATTTCCTCCAATCCCTAACGTTCCAGCTCACAAAATGGCCGGCGTATCCGCCTTTGTTGCAATCTCTCTCCTCTTATTGGCTAAGCGTTCGGTGACTGACATCTCGAGTCTGTGACCAATCACGAGAGAGCTTTCTCAAACGCCTCATGAACGCACTAATCAGCTTCGTCCTTACATCGTTCTCCAAATCCGGCCTCTTCCCTCCCACTTGTTCGAATTCGTTGAGAGGACGAGGACGCTTGGCCAATGGGGAGGAAGGAGGGCGGGGCGTGTGTTATAGCGGCCGGTTGATCCAATGAGGAAACGAAAATCTAGTTGCGCAAAAGGAGGCGGGACTCTTCGCCACCCAATGAGGGGACGCGTTTGTGACGGAACGCACGCAACGTCCCGGCAGCCAATCAGGCTTCGGGAGGGTAGATTTGAAAGGCAAGAGTCTTCACTTTGTGGTGAGACGCTGAAGGGGAAGTTTCGAAGGGCAGGTAAATTTATTTATTTATCTTGTCAGGGGAACCAGTCGATTATATTACATTTCTAACAGAACAAAGCAAACAAACAGACAAAATAAAATTTGTGAGTTTGGTATTTGATTAAATGTCCTTTGACCAGTATCTGGCCAGTTGGAGTGCCTCTGGTGTTGCTGCAAGAGGTCCTCCATTGTGCATGTGGCAGGGCTCAGGTTGCATTGCAGCAGGTGGTCAGTGGTTTGCTCCTCTCCACACTCACATGTCGAGGATTCCACTTGGTAGCCCCATTTCTGAAGGTTGGCTCTGCATCTTGTGGTGCCAGAGCGCAGTCTGTTCAGCGCCTTCCAAGTTGCCCAGTCCTCTGTGTGCCCAGGGGGGAGTCTCTCATTGGTATCAGCCATTGGTTGAGGTTCTGGGTTTGAGCCTGCCACTTTTGGACTCTCGCTTGCTGAGGTGTTCCAGCGAGTGTCTCTGTAGATCTTAGAAAACTATTTCTTGATTTAAGTCGTTGACGTGCTGGCTGATACCCAAACAGGGGATGAGCTGGAGATGTCTCTGCCTTGGTCCTTTCACTATTGGCTGCTACTTCCCGGCGGATGTCAGGTGTAGTTTCTCCAGCGCAGACACCCAGTGGATAATGTGGCATGTCTCATTAAGAGCCACATCCACTGTTTTAGTGTGGTGAGATGTGTTCCACACTGGGCATGCATACTCAGCAGCAGAGTAGCATAGCGCAAGGGCAGATGTCTTCACTGTGTCTGGTTGTGATCCCCGGTTGTGCCAGTCAGCTTTCGTATGATATTGTTTCTAGCACCCACTTTTTGCTTGATATTCAGGCAGTGCTTCTTGTAGGTCAGAGCACGGTCCAGAGTGACTCCCAGGTATTTGGGTGCGCTGCAATGCTCCAGTGGGATTCCTTCCCAGGTGATCCTCAGAGCTCGGGATGCTTGTCTGTTCTTGAGATGAAAAGCACATGTCTGTGTTTTAGATGGGTTAGGATCAGCTGGTTTTCCCTGTAATAGGCAGTAAGAGCACCTAGAGCAGTGGTTCTCAACTTGGGGTCCCCAGATGTTTTTGGCCTTCAACTCCCAGAAATCCCAGCCAGTTTTACCAGCTGTTAGGATTTCTGGGAATTGTAGGCCAAAAACATCTGGGGACCCCAGGTTGAGAACCACTGACCTAGAGCTTCGGAGTGCTTCTGTTCAACCATCTCAAAGCTCCCTGCTTGAGCAGTAATGGCACGATCATCAGCATAGATGAAACTCTCTGTCCCTTCTGGCAGTGGCTGGTCATTTGTGTAGATGATGAACATGGATGGAGCAAGCACGCTCCCCTGAGGCAGGCCGTTCTTCTGTTTCCGCCATCTGCTTCTCTGGCCCTGAACTCAACAAAAAAGCTCCTGTTTTGTAGCAGGTTTCCTATGAGGCGGGTGAGGTGGTAGTCCTTTGTGATATACATTTTTCTCAGGAGGAGGCGGTGGTTCACAGTATCATAAGCTGCTGACAGGTCTATGAAGACAGCTCCTGTGATCTGCTGCCTTTCAAAGCCATCTTCTATGTGCTGAGTCAGGTTCAGCACTTGCCTGAACCAGGACTTGCCGCATCATGAAATACAAAATAGCAAATATAACAATTAAAAACATGAACATTAATAAATAAAGATTAAACAGTAAACTTACGATCCATTTAGCTATTGCCAGTCTGGTGGCTATTTATCTAGCCATATACTAATGATTACTCCGCTTAACTTATCCAAATCCACTTCCAAGCCATAGTCAAACATTATCAATTGTCCTTTAACCTAATTGCCCGAAGGCCTGGTCCCACAACCACGTTTTTACCTTCTTTCTAAAGGTGAGGAGGGATAGTGGGATTCCTTCCCAGATGATCTTCAGAGCTCGGGATGCTTCTCTGTTCTTGAGATGAAAGGCACATGTCTGTGTTTTAGATGGGTTGGATCAGCTGGTTTTCCCTGTAATAGGCAGTAAGAGCACCTAGAGCTTCGGAGAGCTTCTGTTCAACCATCTCAAAGCTCCCTGCTTGAGCAGTAATGGCATGATCATCAGCATAGATGAAACTCTCTGCCCTTTCTGGCAGTGCAGGAAAAGACGGACAGAGAAGAGCAGTGAAGCAGGAACCGCTTAACCGCCTGATTAAATGAAACGCTTTCCAGTCTTGGACTTAAATCAGTGGCTTCCACTGTTTGGTACTCTGGTCTTCCTCATTGTGGGACTTCACTCCCAGAATACCCCATCTTCAGTTGAATCAGGGGAGGCTTCTGGGAACAAGTCCAAAACACTTGGAAAACTAGAGATACAGCATTACAGTGTTAGGCCTTGTTCTCCAGAATGATCCTCACTAGTCAAAGGTGTTGGTTCCTAATATGGTCCCTAACTCGCTACCTGCATCTTGATGTCAAATTGCCATGGAAGGAAGAAACCATTCTAGTTATTAGGCAAATATGGCGCCCAAACCCTGACACAATAGTCATCCTAGGAAGGCCTGATAAACACCAGGCTTCTGGCTTACAATATAGAAATATCTGTAGCAGAGCAGGTTGCAGTGTTGTTGTTCATTCGTTCAGTTGTCTCCGACTCTTCGTGACCTCATGGACCAGCCCACGCCAGAGCTCCCTGTCGGCCGTCACCACCACCAGCTCCTTCAAGGTCAGTCCAGTCACTTCAAGGATGCCATCCATCCATCTTGCCCTTGGTCGGCCCCTCTTCCTTTTGCCTTCCACTTTCCCCAGCATCATTGTCTTCTCTAAGCTTTCCTTTCTTCTCATGATGTGGCAAAGAACTTCATCTTTGCCTCTACTATCCTTCCCTCCAATGAGCAGTCAGGCTTTATTTCCTGAAGTATGGACTGGTTGGATCTTCTCGCTGTCCAAGGCACTCTCAGAACTTTCCTCCAGCACCACAGTTCAAAAGCATCTCTCTTCGCTCAGCCTTCCCTATAGTCCAGCTCTCACATCCATAGGTGGCTAATTATAATATCATATTATATAATTATAATATATTATTATTAGTATTATATTGCATTACATTATAATATCATATATATTACATGTTGTTTATTCGTTCAGTCCACTTTTGAGATTGCAACAAAGGCGGATACGCCGGCATCTCTCTTCCTTCGCTCAGCCTTCCCTGTGGTCCAGCTCTCACATCCATAGGTGACTACAGGGAATACCATGGCTTTGACTATGCGGATCTTTGTTGCCAGTGTGATGTCTCTACTCTTCACTATTTCATCAAGATTGGTCATTGCTCTCCTCCCAAGAAGGAAGCATCTCCTGATTTCCTGGCTGCAGTCTGCATCTGCAGTAATCTTTGCACCTAGAAATACAAAGTCTGTCACTGCCTCCACGTTTTCTCCCTCTATTTCCCAGTTGTCAATCATTCTTGTTGCCATAATCTTGGTTTTTTATGTTTAGCTGCAACCCAGCTTTTGCGCTTTCTTCTTTCACCTTGATTAGAAGGCTCCTCAGCTCCTCCTTGCTTTTGGCCATCAAAGTGGTGTCATCTGCATATCTAAGGTTGTTAATTTTTCTCCATTCTTGTGGATTTCAATGGCTTCTCTGTGTAGTGTGACATGGTAGTTGTTAGATGGTCCAGCATTTCTGTGTTCTCAAATAATATGCTGTGTCCAGGTTGGTTCATCAGGTGCTCTGCTATGGCTGACTTCTCTGGTTGAAGTAGTCTGCAGTGCCTTTCATGTTCCTTGATTCGTGCCTGGGCAATGCTGCTGCGTTTGGGGGTCCCGATGTAGACTTGTCCGCAGCTGCATGGTATACAGTAGACACTTGCAGAAGTAAGAGGATCCTTCTTCTCCTTTGCTGAACGTAGCATTTGTTGGATTTTCTTAGTGGGTCTGCAAATTGTTTGTATGTGACCCAAATTTGGTAGAGAGAGAATGCTGACTTGTAAATGTAAAGTTCTTCATCTGGAGAGGCCCTGCTCACGATCCCACCTACATCGCAAACGCGATTGGTGGGAACGAGGGACAGGGCCTTCTCGGTAGTGGCCCACGACTCTGGAACTCCCTCCCCAAGGACATCAGGCATGCCCCAACATTGGCAGTCTTTAGAAGGAGCTTGAAAACATGGGTGTTCCAGTGTGCCTTCCCAGATTAAGGTATCCCAAGCAACATGTCCCAAATGCACTTTACGAGAGAGTTAGAATTGTCTGCACACCCATTTATCGTTAAAATATCCATCCTATTTCACTTGGACATGCCTAGCATTTTTTTTAAATTTAGCCATTACATTTGGCCCTGCCACAGGTTTTTAAATGTGTCGTGATTTTTGTTATTGTTTTGCTTTGCTATGAGTTATTTATTGTTGTATTGTTGTTGTTGTGTTTTTTGTTTCTGATGTATTTGTGCTCGGCCTCTTGTAAGCCACACCGAGTCCTGCAGGAGATGGTAGCGGGGTATAAATAAAGGTTTATTGTTATTATTATTATTATTATTATAAAGGCCTCTTGAGGCAGAAAAAGGGACAATAGCAAAGATTACTTGTGGGGAAAGCCAGGAGGTACCTCTTCATGCAGCAGGGACCAAAATACATTGAACTATGTAGAGCAGGTATGGACAAATTTTGGCCCTCCCTCCAGGTGTTTTGAACTTCACAACTCCCACAATTCCTAACAGCTAGAAGGCTGTTAGGAATTGTGGAATTCCAAAACACTTAGAGGGAGAGCCAAAATTTGCCCATGCCTGACATACAGCCATGAAACAAAGGCAAAAACACAACATCAGGCATACACCACAAGGCTTCCCTCTGTGCCTATTTGTCGATATGTATATCTTCACTTCTAGCAACAGGTTCTTTTTTTTCCTACAGATCCAGAATTGACCTGCATTACACTGAATGCCAGAGAGTCTTTCAGGACTTAGACCCTAAAGCAGCAGGAATCTTGGATTCTTTTTGGCGAGGTGCTGGACACCACCGCCACCTTTCTTCCCCTTTTTAGAGCCTGCTAATTGGAAGCAGAAGAAAAGAGTCCATCAACATCCAGGATGGCAAACAAGGAGAATGTGAGCAGCATCTACAGTAGTCTCTCTAAAGTAAGATGTGTTCTGCTTCTACTCATATTGGCTATATAGTGAGAGAATATCTGCTGGTGCTGAAGTTTCAATATGCAAAAAAGGGGTGTAGTGTTGTTGATTTGGAAAGTTTCCTAGACAAAGCTTGAAATCTAAGGATGAGCCAGGATGTTGTTGTTAAGCATTATGCATTAAGTACTAACCATAGTTTTTTCAGAGTGAGAGAATGAGCATACTATCTTGCTCAAAAATCTTATCTGAAGCGCTGTTCTCCACATTTAACTGTGATAAGCAATTATTCTCTAAGGTCAAATGAGGAAATGATTCCTTCTCACTTACTTAGAGAGACAGAATAAAAGTCTATAGTTTATTTGAATTTAGGTAGAAGGTAGATGCAGAGGAGAGTGGAGGGTGAGTCCTGATGCCTCAATGACTGGGAGGGAAGGAGGAAGTTATCTAAGAAAATCCATAGGCGTGCAAGTTGTCGCAGCAAATGAATTAAGGTTTATTGTCGAAGGCTTTCATGGCTGGAATCACTAGGTCCTTGTGGGTTTTTTGGGGCTATAGAGCCATGTTCTAGAGGCATTTCTCTGGGAGAAATGCCTCTAGAACATGGCTCTATAGCCCGAAAAGACCCACAAGAACCTAATTAAGGTTTGCAGTTTGTGATAAGATGCTGTGCTACTAATTTAATTGGAGATTTGCCTTGGAACTATTGTACTAAGATGTTAATAATAATAATAATAAACTTTATTTATGTATTGTCGAAGGCTTTCATGGCCGGAATCACTGGGTTGTAGGTTTTTTCGGGCTGTATGGCCATGTTCTAGAGGCATTCTCTCCTGACGTTTTGCCTGCATCTATGGCAAGCATCCTCAGAGGTAGTGAGGTCTGTTGGAACTAGGAAAAGGGGATTATATATCTGTGGAATGACCAGGGTGAGACAAAGGACTCTTTTCTGCTGGAGCTAGGTGTGAATGTTTCAACTGACCACCTTGATTAGCATACAATGGGCTGACTGTGCCTGGAGCAAACTTTTGTTGAGAACTTTATTTATACCCCGCTACCATCTCCCCATGGGACTCGGTGCGGCTTACATGAGGCCGAGCCCAAGTACAGCAATACAAGCAATAATAACAACAATACAAGCAATTAAAATCAAGCATAAACAATAAAACAATAACGTAAGCATTAACAATAAGACAACACACTATTAAAAACTATGGGAAGGCCAAATGTAAATTGAAATTAAAAATAATGCTGGACATGGGTGAAAAAAGTGATGGGGTGTTTGTGGAACATACAAGCAGACCTAAAGCAATGTAAAGTGCTTTGGAGGACAAAGTGCTGTGGGATCATTATTCTGGGAAGGCACACTGGAACAACAATTGCCTTAGTCCTTGGATTCTAGCATATCAAAATCAAGTAACAAGATGTGTTTGTTGAGGTTAGACTTCATTTTATATATATTCAGGGATTTTGTGCAATAGATATGATATTTGGAACGGCCTGGACTGCGATTGTTGGATTATGTATTTTTAATTGTTTATATTGATATGTTTTTAATTCCACATTTTGTTAAATGATGTCATGGTTTATGATTTAATTGAGAATTATGTTATTATAGTTATGTTAGGTTTCTGTATGTGAAGCATTAAATTTTGCCATAATTATGTTGGAAACCACTTTGAGGCCCCACTGGGGTGAGAAAAGTGGTTTACAAGTAAATAAACATTTAAAAAACAGTCTGGACTTGCCTTCCCTTTTTTCCCCAGTACCAAAACAGCAGCCTGACAGGCGTTCAACGGATTCCCTGTAAGGATAACAGTGCCACGTCTAGTACTCCTTCTGGGTCGCTTTTGATGCAAAGAGCTATTGCCAACACTGCGAAGTCCACTCTCAGGACCCCAACTGCCCAGAACCCACGTGAGTCCTCTGTCTGCCTGGGAGGGTTGAAAATAGAAGACACATTGAGGCCTTGCAGATTGAGAAATGACCTTCTGTATACTACAATGGAGCGTTTGCCCATTCTCTAACTGTCTCAATTAATGGGACATCCCAATTTTCAGATGTGATTGAAATACCCTGGTTTCCTTCTCTTACTTGCCACTTTTGCCCTCAGCTTTCTTCAGATGCTGCAAACTGACTTCAAAGTTTAGAAGTAGTTTACATTCATTTCACTGACCCTCCTTGGCAACTCAGAGAAAAGCCAAATTCTGCAGCCTGTCCTGACATGTCTGCTCTTGCTTTCATTCTTTACTTGTCATCTTCCCCATCTTGTAGTCCTCGTTCATGCTCGACTCAGTATTCATCTATGAATTGTTGGCGATCATGTGTTAACAGGTCCCCAAGAACAGATTTTTCCTTTTGAGTCGTTGAGTTAGTTCCAATGTGCCTTTGAATAATGGTTTAGCTACTGATGACGGTTTGGATTGACACAAAGCAGACACTGTCATTGTCATGCCTCTGCTTTCATAATTTTAAAGACCTTGTTTTAGTTTTAATTCTTGTTACGTTTTAAGGTTTATATTGGAAAGTGTTTATAAAATTAGTATATTATTGATGTCATGGCCTATGGCTAGTACAATAAACCATTCATTCATTCATTCATTCATACTGATGAAGTCTGCCTAGCTCCAGCACTTTATTCTCAGCCCTGGCCCTACAGTTTGCATTTGCACAAGCTCTTGTCCTACCCTATTAGTCTCAAATCTGCACATACCCACTTCTTTCGACTACTGGTTGTTTGATGTTTGGTTCATTTTTATGATATCTAACTTTTAATTGTTTTAATATATTTTATTGTATGTTTTTAATTGTGTTACTTTGTAACCTTTGTTTATATTGGGCTTGGTCCCCATGTAAACTGCCCCAAGTCCCTTTGGGAAGATGGAGGTGGGATACAAGAATAAAGTTATTATTTGAAACACAACAAGATGAGTCCACAGCAAACAAGATCACTCTGCTGGCTGTTGTGTTGGATCACACACCGGACCCTTCCCAAGTGTCTAGGACTGTGTGATGTATTGGCGAATAATGCGTTCAGATCCCAGTAAGGTGGCCTGCAGCTGGCAGCTGGTAATTTTGTCAGCGCTGATTGTGTTTAAGTGCAGGCCAAGGTCTTTAGGCACTGCACCCAGTGTGCCGATCACCACTGGGACCACCTTTACTGGCTTGTGCCAGAGTCTTTGCAGTTGTTGTTGTTATTAGTCTATCTTAGTGTTTGGAGTTTTTAACTTTCACTGGGATAATCCAACTGTGTTGTTTCTTTACAGCTGCCCCAGGCAGGGTGCCTATTCAGCCAGATTCTGCTGCCGCCTCGGCAAAAGAAGAGTCTGAGTGAGTTTCCTTTTACGTCTGCTTATTAATAGGTATATCCTGCCTTCTCTCTTAGGACTAGGATTGCAAGGTGAAATAAGGACACCGTTACTATCCCTTTAATAGTCTTTTCCAGGAGGAAATTTCAGCAGGTGTTGCTTATGGTGCACAATGATTAAAGAGAGGAACCCTTTCCCTAATTTCACATGAAGGCTCTACAAAGCGGCACAGGATAGAATACGATGAAGTTAATTAAAATGCAAAGGACATGAATGATATGTTACGGTCTATTATGCTGTTAATACACATTACAAACGTAGATGTACAAATCAGATGAAATCACCAGAGCCATCCGCACAGCTTTAGTAATAATTAAAAATGTGTGTTAACTTGGTGCCAAAACAAATAGTTCTACAGAAAGTGTGCCATTACAGAAAAAACATTCTCCAGTCTGTTGTCAAAGACTTTCATGGCCGGAATAACTGGGTTACTGTGAGTTTTCTGGGCTGTATGGTCATGTTCCAGAAGCATTGTCTCCCGATGTTGCAACCTACAAGCATGTGGACAGTTTCAACAGAAAAGAGGAAACCATGAAAGTGAACAGCATCTGGCCACCAGTATTTAAAAAACTCTAAAATCAGGACAGTAAATAAAGAGCAACACTCAAAAACAGTAGAATTTCAGACAAGAAACAATCAAGGCCAGCTAATCATCTCCCAACAAAGGATTCCCCCAGACAGGAAGCAGCCAAGCTTTGAAGCTGCAAGGCTATTCAGTGCTATTGCAGAATTCACATTTGCCTCAAAAAGCCAATGGGATTTTGGCCTGCATCAATAGGAGCATAGTGTCTAGATCTAGGGAAGTAATGCTACCCCTCTATTCTGCTTTGGTTAGACCACACCTGGAATATTGTGTCCAATTCTGGGCACCACAATTCAAGAGAGATATTGACAAGCTGGAATGTGTGCAGAGGAGGGCGACTAAAATGATCAAGGGTCTGGAGAACAAGCCCTATGAGGAGCGGCTTAAGGAGCTGGGCATGTTTAGCCTGAAGAAGAGAAGGCTGAGAGGGGATATGATAGCCATGTATAAATATGTGAGAGGAAGCACAGGGAGGAGGGAGCAAGCTTGTTTTCTCCTTCCCTGGAGACTAGGACGCGGAACAATGGCTTCAAACTACAAGAAAGGAGATTCCATCTGAACATGAGGAAGAACTTCCTGACTGTGAGAGCCGTTCAGCAGTGGAACTCTCTGCCCCGGAGTGTGGTGGAGGCTCCTTCTTTGGAAGCTTTTAAACAGAGGCTGGATGGCCATCTCTCAGGGGTGATTTGAATGCAATATTCCTGCTTCTTGGCAGAATGGGGTTGGACTGGATGGCCCATGAGGTCTCTTCCAACTCTTTGATTCTATGATTCTATAAGAGTTCTTTCTCCCACCCTGGACATTCCACAGATATATGAGCCTCACTTGCTTCGTTTCCAACAAGCCTCACAACCCCTGAGGATGCCTGTCATAGATGTGGGCAAAATGTCAGGAGAGTCTGCTTCTGGAACATGGTCATACAGCTGAGAAAACTCACAGCAACCCAGTTTCTCCAGTCTCTCCCACAGTATAGTATCCCCACCAACTGATCTCAGGCCTAATAGGGAATGGTGTGCTTCAAGCAGTGAAATATCAAACCATTTAGGAATTCAGATATTGTTGCCGACATCTTCAAATTCCACTTCAGTAGTTTTGGGGGGAACGGGGGAAGGGGGACTGTCCCTGCAAGTTCTGGCTTCCAGTGAAAGCTCCCGTTCTCCTTTTTTCCTCCTCAAATTCTCTTGGAATTCAGGACACAGCGCGAGTTCACCATTCATGACTTTGAGATCGGAAGGCCGCTGGGCAAAGGGAAGTTTGGCAATGTCTACCTGGCTCGGTTGAAAGAATCCAAGTTCATTGTGGCTCTCAAGGTGCTCTTCAAATCCCACATTGAGAAGGATGGCGTGGAGCATCAGCTGCGCCGGGAGATTGAGATCCAGTGTCACCTCAGGTAAAGGGGAGGCAAAGGGCTGGGTCAACGTGTAACCATTTTGGCTGGTGAGCACTTAGAAACCCAAGGGGAAGCTTACAAAGACCCTCTGGCTGGCACTATGGGATGAAACACAGGCCAAGGCTCGAAAAGTCCCACTGGGCATCTTAGAAGGAACGTTGCATTGATGCGACAGATCTCTTCTTCAAATTGGGAAGTAACAACTCTAAAACTGCATCTATACTGTAGAATCAATGCAGTTTGACACCGCTTTAACCCCCATGGCTCAGTCCTAAGGAATCATTGGAATTGTAGTTTTATAAGGTCTTTATGGAGTCCCTGGTGGCACAGCGGGTTAAACTGCTGAGCTGTTTAACCCGCTGAATGGTTGGCGGTTCGAATCTGGGGAGCGGGGTGAGCTCCCGCTGTTAGCCCCAGCTTCTGCCAATCTAGCAGTTTGAAAACATGCAAATGTGAGTACATCAATAGGTAAATTTTGTTACAAATGGCCATTGATTCTGTTTGGAGAATTAATAATATTAGACTATTAGAAAGTTTTATTAAATCTGTCAAACAGCCAAAAGGTGTGTGTGTATGTGTGTATATATATATATATGCACGCGCACACACGCACATATATAAATTTGAATAATTTAGTAGCAAGCAGTGGGGAAGGTCCATTGGGCACAGATATTTCACTGGAGAAAGCATCAGAGTTGGAAGAGAGACCCCAAGCTCCTTCCAATCCAAACCTATTCATGAATTATTCAGATGGTTTTACAACCTTCTCTTTTTCTGCTGTTTCCTGGGGGCTGATTCAGATATGCCTTCCTTTTTCCACAGTCACCCCAATATCCTGCGCCTCTATAACTACTTCCATGATCGCAAGCGAGTGTACCTAATCCTGGAGTATGCCCCTCGAGGGGAGCTTTACAAAGAACTGCAGAAACACCAGCGCTTCGATGAGCAGAGAACTGCGACAGTGAGAACTCTCCATCTTTGATCTTACTGCGTGTAACATGTTTAGCTTCCTTGAAATCTTAGACATCTTGGCAAAGGCAACACATGGAACAGAAGGATATGAACAAGATTCTGTAGGTTTGTTCCTAAGTTGAATTTGTGTGTAAGTTGGAACAGGTGCGTTTTTAAAGTGCAAGTCCAGCTCCATATATATATATATCTATATAAATAAAAATGTAATGTTCGTTTGTGATATTAACAGAACTCAAAAACCACTGGATGAATTGACACCAAATTTGGACACAAGACACCTAACAACCCAATGTATGTCCTTCACTCAAAAACTTGATTTTGTCATTTGGGAGTTGTAGTTGCTGGGATTTATAGTTCACCTACAATCAAAGAGCATTCTGAACCCCACCAACGATGGAATTGAACCAAACTTGACACAGAACTCCCATGACCAACAGAAAATACTGGAAGGGTTTGGTGGGCAGTGTCCTTTGGTTTTGGAGTTGTAGTTCACCTACATCCAGAGGGAACTGTGGACTCAAACAATGATGGATCTGGACCAGCCTCTACACGAATACTCAATATGCCCAAATGTGAACACTGGTAGAGTTTGGGGAAAATAAAATCTTGACATTCGGGAGTTATAGTTGCTGGGATTTATAGTTCACCTACAATCACAGAGCATTCTGAATCCCACCAACGATAGAATTGGGCCAAACCTCCTACACAGAACCCCTATGTGGGCCACAGCAACGCGTGGCAGGGGACGGCTAGTGTATATATATATATGTGGGGGGGGGGGGGGGGTGGAGTTTCACTTTAAAAACGCACCTGTTCCAACTTACACACAAATTCATATATATATGTTTTGAACAGCATAGGAAGGGTTAACTTCCATGTGGTGTTTGTTTTTCTGTCTCTGCCCCTGATCAGGAGATCTCACCTCACTTTCTGTCCTTGTCAGAATTGGATTTTGAAAAAAAAATGAGTTGTGGAATCAAGGATTGGTGATCAAGCTTCAACTAAGACACCTTTTCTTTATAGTAACTCTTTCAGGAGTGAATTTTCTTTCTGAAGGGGAGATGTCTCCCATTTCCTGTTGTCTCAGCCCCATTCTAAACTATGAGTCATTTGGTAGTCGGATGTTTGTAACTTGGGGGCTGACTATCGAAAATACTACTTTTTAAATTATATTTCCCATAATGCTCTACCAGTGTAACCACACTGGGAAGAGGTCTCTGAGAGGAACCACTGGCCCTTGCTGATGGGGATTTGTGGGATATGTAGTCCAAAAACACTTTCCAAGCCTTGCAGGTGGAAGCAAGGGGGTGTAGGTACCTTTCCTTGCTTCCTGGCATGTCCAAGTGTGGTTGAGTCAGAATACTGGACCTTCTTAGTGTCCAATAACTTTCTTGTCATTCTCTTTATTCAGTAAACTAGCTTAAGTCCCACTGTTGGGGTTGGAAGAAGACCAGGATATAAATCAAGGGACTGAATATTTTAGCTCCCATTTTTAGGTTGTGGTTTGTGAACAGAGTCCTTTAATGCTATCCAACTATAGCACTATGATGCTATTGAAGGAGAACACTAACATAGAATCCTAGAGTTGGAAGAGACCTCATGGGTCATCCAGTCCAACCCTTTTCTGCCAAGAAGCAGGAAAATCACATTAAAAGCATCCCTGACAGATGGCCATCCAGCCTCTGCTTAAAAGCCTCCAAAGAAGGAGCCTGCATCACATTCTGCGGCAGAAAGTTCCACTGTTGAACAGGTCTCCTCACACTGAGGAAGTTCTTCCTAATGCTCAGGTGGAATCCTCTTTCCTGTCATTTGAAGCCATTGTTAAATTGCGCCCTGGTCTCCAGGGCAGCAGAAAACAAGCTTGCTCCCTCCTCCCTGTGGCTTCCTCTCACATATTTATCCATGTCCCTTATCATGTCTCCTCTCAGACTTCTCTTCTTCAGGCTAAACATCTCCAGCTCTTTAAGCTGCTCCTCATAAGGCTTGTTCTCCAGACCCTTGATCATTTTAGTCACCCTCCTCTGGACACAATATTCCAGATGTGGTCTGAGCAAGGCAGAATAGAGAAGTAGCATGACTTCTCTGGATCTAGACACTATGCTCCTATTTATTCAGGCCAGCATCCCATTGGCTTTTTAAGCTGCTACATGACCTTGTTGGCTCATGGATTTGCATTTGCAAAATTCCTTGCTTTGTTTCTATTTTGCATCCTAATGCTAGAGAAATTATTCCAAAAGAACTGTGAAAAGTCATTGGGGCTCACTGGCAGAAAATTTAGAATATTCCTCCCTCTGCAGCCAACCCCAGGACACCTTAGGGTGCCACCATGTCAGCTATGTTGGAATAATAACATAATCAAATTGTGTGAAAGAACTCTAGTTCTCTCCAATGTGTTGTTTCAGTAGAACAGGGACAATGGTTAAAGTTCTCTCCAGGCTGTAGCCTCTCAAATAGCACTTGTTTGCCTCCTTGATATAGTACATGGAAGAGTTGGCCGATGCCCTCCAGTACTGCCATAGTAAGAAGGTGATCCACCGGGACATCAAGCCAGAGAATTTGTTGATGGGGCTCAAAGGGGAGCTGAAGATTGCTGACTTTGGATGGTCTGTCCATGCCCCCTCCCTCAGGCAAGTGCCATCTTCTGTTATGATGCCGCCAAGGAGCGTGGGTTTGGGTGTGGGGAGACAACTGATGAGGGTTAACTGGCTACACTGGCCCTCCAATTGATTTGAAGGGTTTTTATTCTCCCCTAAGCATCATGAGTACCAACGGCACCACTTCATTGGACTGCTCTAGACCATTTTAGACCAGAATAAGCCTCCCCCACAGAGCAACCTAATTTACTGGCCTACTACTGGGTAAAAAAGGCCACTGTGGAGCTGAAATTATTATTATTATTATTATTATTATTATTATTATTATTAATAATAATAATATCCAATACAACAGCCAGCAGAGTGATCTTGTCTGCTGTGGACTCATCTTGTTGTGTTTCTAATAATAATAATAATAATAATAATAATAATAATAATAATAATAATAATAATAATGGGTGCCGTGCCAAAAGATCTCAGCTGGCATTTGGAAACAATAAACATCGACAAAATCACGATCTGTCAACTGCAAAAGGCCACCTTACTTGGATCTGCGCGCATCATTCAAAAATACATCACACAGTCCTAGGCGCTTGGGAAGTGTTCAACTTGTGATTTTGTGATACAAAATCCAGCATATAGATCTCATTTGCTGTGACATACTGTGCTTTTGTGTCAGTAAAGTAATAATAATCTTTATTTATACCCCGCCAACATCTCCTCAAAGGAGATTTGGGGCAGCTAACATGAGGCCAGGCTCAAAATTACAACAAATAAAATACAAACGCAGCAAAATAAAATACAAAGATGCAAAAATACATTCAAAATAAATACATAACGAAATAAAATAAACAGTTCCAAAATGACACGAAAGAGAAATGGGACACTGGGTGGGCCAAATGCACTAGAAATAAAATTAATAAAACCCTGGATAAGATAGGCAGAATATGTTTCTAAGAGAGAATGTGTTTCAGAGGGGGGAACTCAAAAGGGCCGAACAGTGGGGTTAAACCTTAATTAGGGGCATTATGAGGATGGAGCTGTAGTAGGGGCAGACTAAAAGCGGAATATATATTCATTTGCCAAAGAAATTGGAACCATATCATTGGAAGAGGTCGCAAGGCCCATCCTGCCCAATCCCATACTGCCAGGCATGAAAACACAATCAAAACCCTCCTGACAGATGGCCATCCAGCCTCTGCTTAAAGACCTCTAGAGAAGGAGACACTGCTACACTGAAGCAGCATATTTCACTGCCGAACACCTCTCACCCTTAGGAGGTCCTTCCTAGTGTTTACATTTAATCTTTTTTTCCTTTAATAGTCCAGGGGAGTGCAGAAAATGTTCTAAAATTGTCTTATATGCTTTGAAGGAGCTTTAGAGGGTATGCATGGAGGCCCTTCTCTCCCTAGTGTCGTTTTTGGGGATTTCTGTGCTATCTGTGTGTCTCTCCTGTTGTAATCCTTGCTTCTGTTGCTGCCTCAGGAGGAAGACCATGTGTGGCACTCTGGACTACCTGCCCCCCGAGATGGTAGAAGGTCGTCCCCACGATGAGAAGGTTGACCACTGGTGCATTGGGATTCTTTGCTACGAGTTGCTGGTGGGCCGCCCGCCCTTTGAGAGTAGCTCTAACATGGAGACCTATAGCCGCATCATCAAGGTGAGCTGGTGTCCTCCCAAGCATACCCTGCAGACTTGGCCTCCAGACCAGTACCTCCAGGTCATGGATTCTAGCCCCAGAGATACTTGTGAGTCAAGACAGGGGAAGGAAAATATAAGTGCCTAATGAAAGGAGAACTAGAGAAAGGAATAAAGCCACTAAGGATGAGAACTTTATCCACTGCTGGAGTCAACGTTGTCAGAAATATTAAAAATTAACTGGGTATTTTTGATTACTAAAGTGTGAGGCAAACACTGAAAGAGTTAGTAGGCCGAAGCCTGTTAAGAGTCAGTGGGCTAGTGTCATTCTGAGGAGAGTGAGTAGGCCAAAGCCTGATAGAATTAGTGGGCCAAAGCTAGTGTCATCCTGAGGAGTGTGAGGTAAACCTCAGTGTGAGAGAAGCCTTGTGTGTGAAGCTCCAGTGTGAAGGTTGAACTTTATTTGTGTTATGGAAACCTTGTTCTTGTAAATAGTGCAACCATATTATTTTGCTATAAAGAAAAGCCTCCTATGGAAGGGATAACATTGGTCTGGGTGTTTTGTTCTTTTTATCACTTTGGGTTACTAGTGCTGTTAATAAATTACTCTGCTGAACATTTATTATTATTATTATTATTATTATTATTAACTTTATTTATACCCCGCTAAAATCTCCCGAAGGACTCAATGCGGCTTACAAAGGCCAAGGCCACCAACAAAACAACAGCATACAAATACAACAGTAAAACTCATAAAGCAAATAATAAAACATCAAGCAAAACAATCAAACACTAAAAACAATGACACTATGACGCATTTAAAACCTAAGGCCGGGCCAAATGTAATGGACAAATTTAAAAAGTGCTGAACATGACAGGTGAAATGTACAGGTTTTTGGAGGTAGATGCAGTGTGCAGACAATCCTAAATCTCTAACAAAGTGCATTTGGGACATGATGCTAGGAGTTTCCTATTCTGGAAAGGCACACTGGAACAGCCAGGTCTTCAGGCTCTTCCTAAAGACTGCCAACATTGGGGCTTGTCTAACGTCCTTGGGAGAGAGTTCCAGAGCCGGGGGGCCACCACAGAGAAGGACCTGTCCCTCGTCCCCACCAAATGCGCTTTTGACGCAGGTGGGATCGTGAGCAGGGCCTCTCCAGATGATCGAAGGGATCGTGTGGGTTTATATATGGAGATGCGGTCACGCAGGTAGGTGGGTCCCAAACCGTTTAGGGCTTTGTAGGTGAGCACCTGCACCTTGAATTGGGACCGGAAGATGAACGGCAGCCAATGGAGCTCCTTAAACAGGAGGGTAGACCTCTCTCTGTAAGGAGCGCCAGTTAACAACCTGGCCGCCGACCGTTGGACCAGTTGGAATTTCCGAGCCGTTTTCAAGGGCAGCCCCACGTAGAGCGCATTACAGTAGTCTAATCTAGAGGTGACCAAGGCATGGACCAGACCTTTATGAGGAAGGTCTTTTCATATTAAGCCCACTCACCCAACAAAAGTGCCTTGTGGGAGTGCTAAACGTGCCTGAAATTGCTCCATCCATGTTCTCTGCTTCTCTGGAGACTGCAGGAAGAGAGTTTCCACCCAAACTTAGGAAGAGCTCTGAGGATAAAAACTGTTCAGCAGTGGATAATGCTGCTGCCTTGGAGCACAGTGGAGTCTCCTTCTCTGGAGTTTTTTTTTTTAAGCAGAGGCTGGATGGTCATTTGTCAGGGATGCTTTGATTGAGTTTTCTTGCATGGCAGAATGGGCTTGGACTTGATGGCCCTTATGGTGTCTTCCAACTATGTGATTCCATTATCATGCAGAAATGTCTTGGTTCATAGAATCATAGAGTTGGAAGAGACCTCATGGGCCATCCAGTCCAACCCCCTGCCAAGAAGCAGGAATATTGCATTCAAAGCACCCCCGACAGATGGCCATCCAGCCTCTGTTTAAAAGCTTCCAAAGAAGGAGCCTCCACCACACTCCGGGGTAGAGAGTTCTTGCCCAGAAGTGCTAATAATCTTGAATATATTTCTCTGTGAGGAGGGAAAAATCATCTTTGAGAATGCAGGAGATTTTACTGGGTTGCTGTGAGTTTTCTGAGCTGTATGGCCATGTTCCAGAAGCATTCTCTTCTGACCTTTCACCCACATCTATGGCAGGCATTCTCAGAGGTTGTGAGGTTTACAGGAGAGAATGCTTCTGGAACATGGCCATGCCACCCAGAAAACTCACAGCAACCCAGTGATTCCGGGTATGAAAGCCTTCGGCAACACATTGATGTTTTGCTTCTTCCTCAAACTGCTAAATCCTCTTCCTTTACCTGTCATTCGTTTCTAGTTGAGGTCTGATGTTGATTCCATTTTCCCTCTCCTCTTGATAGGTGGATCTCAAGTTCCCATCGTTTGTGACGGAAGGCCCCCGGGACCTGATTTCAAAACTGCTGCGCCACAACCCGTCCGAACGGCTCTCCCTGAAGGGGGTGATGGAGCACCCTTGGGTCAAAGCCAACTCCAAGCGAGTGCTGCCCCCTGTTTTTGCCCAAACTGATTCCTTATAAAGGCACACTCGAGCACACTTGAACCATGGTTAGATGAAATATCAATGCACGTTTTGCTTTAAAAAGGCAAAATGAAAGAGGAAGGATTTTTTTCCCCTCAGGTAAGATCTCCTGCTCCCAGAAATCCTCTTTGTAAGATCAAGGGGAAAAGTTTAGTTTGTTACTTCTGGCTGGGAATATGTCATTCTCAAGCCACGAACACTCTGGAATGGACCAGTGGTTCCCAACCTTTGGTCCTCCAATTGTTTTGGACTTTAGCTTGCCCAATTCTGACTGGGATTTCTGGGAGTTGAAGTCCAAAACAATTGGAGGACCAAAGGCTGGGAACCACTGCTCTGGAGTGTTGTTGTCCAGGATGACTCAGTGATCCGCTTCATATTGAAAACGGGTGACTATCAATAAAATCTCCAGGACACACTCATTTTTCCTTCCAGTAGTAGGTTTGTATTTCAATATTTTGGTTGTAGAATAGGCTTATTTCTATATATTTTCTGATGCCGACTTCTGTGGTTTTAATAAACTTTGTGTAAATAAACTTTTGCAAACTACCCGACTTGGGTTTTTCTCTTGTTTCAATATTCTTTTGACAGTTATTTGTGAACAGATGCATGGATTGCCATTTGGAGCACACATACTAATTTTTAATATAAGAACTTTGTGGAGAGTAACTTCTGTCCTAGTCTTTATTTATTCCGTATCAAAATCATTGCATAAATTAGTATAAAACTGATAAAAATAGAAGGAGCGCAGGCAGCTAAATATATTTTGACCAAAAACAGACAACAGCAATGGTATTGTCTGTAGCCTCCAATAATTTTTCCTCTGTACATGAGGCAGGGCATAGTGGACAAGCATACAGATGCGGAGTTGTCTGTTCTGCTCCACGGTCACGCAAGGTGTGGGATTCTTTTAGGTACTGCCATTTTGCCAGGTTGTCTTTTGATGTGCCCACTCCGCTTCTGAGTCTGTTCAGTGACTTCCAAGTTGCCCATTCTTGGTTTGCCCCTGGAGGAAGACCCTCGTGGGGGGTGGGGGTGGGGAATCCAGTTGGGATATCCTGGTTTAGCTGCCCAGAGGGATACCCTTGCTGTTGCTGGGGGAACGCCAAGAGGAGTAGTTCTCATAAAGCTTTTCCTTGATTTGAGTCTACCGGGAGGAGGCTGATAGGCATGCAGTAGATGGCTTTCACAGGGTTCAACCTTATTTCTCTCACATTTAGCAGCAACTTCCCATTGCACATCGGGGGGGGGGGGGGGCAATGCCAGCTAGACTGTAGAGTTTATCAACAGGTGTAGGTTTAAGACATCCTGTGATTATTCTGCATGTTTCGTTCAATGCTATGTTCACCTGCTTTGCATGGGCAGACTTATGCCAAAGAGGGCAGGCATACTTGGCAGTTGAGTAAGACAAGGCCAGGGCTGATGTTCTTATTAATTTTGGGTCTGCACCCCATCTGCTGCCAGTAACTTTCTGCAGGATGTTATTGCGTGCAGCTACTTTGTGCTTGGTGGTCAAGCAGTGTTATCTATATGCTAGTGTTCAATCTAAGGTGACACCGAGATATTTAGAATGGAAACAATGTTCAAGTTCTTGACCTTTCCAGGTGACTTTCAATTTCCTGTTGGCTTTATGGTTGCGTATTTATTTATTTCCTATATTTATACCCCACCCTGCTCCCCCCCAAAGGGGGACTTGGGGTGTAGGTGGAAAGCACACACTTGTATCTTGGCAGGGTTAGGCTTCAGGTTCATCTTAGACTTCATCTTGTTGAAGGGAAGTTTCCCACCGGAGTGGAAATCATCAATTAAACAGATGGCAAGCTATTTAACCTCAGCAGTCTGAAAGCTAAAACCAAGGTTACAACAACATCTGTAATAGAACTCCAGTATGCTGATGACAATGTTGTCTGCGCGCATCCAGAAGATCTACAAGCCACTCTAAACACCTTTGCAGAAGCATACGAGAAGCTCGGCCTGCCACTGAACATCGAGAAAACCAAAGTGCTCTTCCAGCAGTCACCAGCCAGTCCCTTCCCAATGCCAGAAATACAGCTTAATGGTGTAACATTAGAAAATGTTGATCATTTCTGTTACCTTGGAAGCCACCTCTCCACAAAAGTAAACATTGACACTGAAATACAACACCGCCCGAGCTCTGCGAGTGCAGCATTTTTCCGAATGAAGCAGACAGTGTTTGAGGACCGGGACATCCGTAGGGATACCAAAGCACTTCTTTATAAAGTTATTGTCCTCCCAACCCTGCTATATGCCTGCGAGACGTGGACTGTCTACAGACATCACATGCAACTCCTGGAATGATTCCATCCGCACTGCCTCCGGAAAATTCTGCAAATCTCTTGGGAAGATAAGCGGACAAATGTCAGCGTGCCAGAAGAACTAAAGACCACCAGCATTGGAGCAATGGTCCTCCGCCATCAACTCTGCTGGACCGACCACGTCGTCCAGATGCCTGACCATCGTCTTTCAAAGCAGTTGCTCTACTCTGAACTCAAGAATGGAAAATGGAGTGTTGGTGGGCAGGAAAAGAAATTTAAAGATGGGCTCAAAGCCAACCTTAAAAACTCTGGCATAGACACTGAGAACTGGGAAGCCTTGGCCCTTGAGTGCTCCAGCTGGCGGTCAGCTGTGACCAGCAGTGCTGCAGAATTCGAAGAGGCATTAATGGAGGGTGAAAGAGAAAAATGCCAAAAGGAAGGCGCATCAAGCGAACCCTGACCAGGACCGCCTTCCACCTCGAAACCGATGCCCTCACTGTGGGAGAAGATGCAGATCAAGAATAGGGCTCCACAGGGCTCCAAGAGTCCAAAAGTGGCAGGTTAAAAACTGGAGCAAACCACAGACCACCAACTACAATGCAGTGAGCCCTGCCACACGCACAATGGAGGACCTTCTCACAGTGACACTAGAGGCACTCCATATGTCCAACTTCTGGTTAATGGACATCTAGTATAATGTCAAGTTTCCTTACGTAGTCCCTGCGAATCATACATTTGATATTCTCTGCGCTCGTGCAGCAGCATTCGGAACCTTCTAAATCAAAAAGAACGACAGTTAGATAGGCCACGCCCCCTTCCCCTGGTATAAATAGCCCATGGGCGGGGCCAACCGTCATTTCTCTTCATCCGCGCTAAACAAAGCAGCGGAGAACCTTCTATCTCTGGCGAGCTAGACCTGAACTAAGAAATCAATTATACTGCTCTATCAGTATGGCAACCAGCTCTTTTAAAAAATGTAAAAAATGTCCAAACATATTGCCGGATAATGATGGACATGAGCTTTGCCTCGCTTGCCTTGGTGAAGCTCACCTTTACCAATCCTGCTCGGTCTGCCAGGCTTTTACGCCGCAGACCAGGAAAAACAGAATTTTAAGATTAAAGGCAGCCCTCTACGAAAGGGCACTTTTGCCGTCTTCGGATCCATTAAAGATTGACTTGCCTGAGGCAAGCACTGGGACAGTAACTAAGAAAAAGGTGAAAAAAATGAAAGAGAAAACTTCTCAGGATGGCCGCTTAGCCGCGGCCAAGAAGATGGCGGCTCTGGAGACGAAGGGCAGTTCAGCTGCCCATCTTACTAAAAACATTACATCCAGACCGAGAGATGGCGATTTGAACCTCCCTCTGGTGGCTGAGAAACACGTTACAGCCACTCCGGCGCAGGAGAGGCGCGAGGGGGAAGCGAGGCCAATTAGACTTACCCCTCCTATGCCGATTTTGTCGCCCAGCCAGCCTCTCTCAAAGACGGAAGAAACTGCCTCAGCGGCAGGATCAGTCCTGCCTCTCTTACTGCCCCCACATCGGCCAGCGGAGGCCCGAAAGCAGACTCCAGCCGACATCGGCAGCCTCCCTATGCACCAAACGGCTAGCGCTGATGTCGAGGCTAGAGGGTGCACTGAGAGCGCATGCGCGGCTCAGCCCGCAGCGACTGGGCGTCCCGAGGAGGCGGAGCGTGCTGTTTTGACTCCGCCTGCCGGTATCGGAAGCGCTGAGGAGGGAGGACGCCCGGACGTCGCTCCTCCTATATTGGGGTGCGAACAAACTCTGGATCTTGCTGCTCCAATGCGGAGCGAAGCAGGGCGAGACCGTGAAGAGGAACGCGCCTCCAGGAGGGGCAGCAAGCGCCCTAGGCGTTCGAGGTCCCCCTCAAGGTGCAGCTCACGATCTCGCCGCCGCCGGGATCGGGGAAGCTCGAGACGGGGGAATCGCAGACGTTCCCCATCATCGTCTTCGTCATCATCATCCTCGTCATCCTCTAGCTCCCCCTCTCCGCGATCGAGACGCTCTCGGCGGCAGAAGCGTCATAGACGTCACTTCTTTCCTTATCCACCCCCTTGGGGGGGGCACCACATGGGGTACTATCCTCACCCAAAGTGTGTGTGTGAGAGTTGCGTGGACCATAGTATGCCTGCCCATGCTTCTCATGCTTCAAGACATGGACAAGGAACTCCCTTGCCTCATGGGGGGTTACCTGAACTGAGAGTGCACCCTGCTGATATAGAGGGCCCCTCTACGTCATCGGCCGTTGATATCAGGCACAACAACATGTCCCATCGCTCTCCTTCCCCATCTGTTGTGAGAGCTACTCAACACTCATCTAGTAGGGATAACATTGCGAATGGTATCCCATTAACAACACAAGTGCTGACTGGATCCGTCAATGTTGCACAAGGTGATGACCCTGCACCCGCTCTGGATGTGTCAACCCCTCAATGTTATGATTCTGCATCTCAAGTTGAGAGAATGCAACAAACTTCTGGGCACGTGGACAGTGCGTCGGAGGACTCCGACGTGCCAGACTATCTCTGTCAGGGAGACAATGATACAACTTCAGTCATACAAGCTGCTGATTTTAATAAGTTCAATGCTCTTATAGGGAGATTGATCAAAGCCTTGGATCTCCCTGCTCCCAAGACACCAGAGCACGTGGATGATCCGATGTTCCCATCAGAGGAACAGGTTTCCTCCCCGGCTACTGTTCTACCTGTA